GAAAGGAGAAGAGGCAATAGGCAAGAAAAAAAGCATTTAGGAGTGTTGCTGTATTTTTACCATAACAGTGGCCAAACGTTGGGAAGGGTTGTCCAGAGAGGTTATTGAGTCTCTGGAAATATTCAAAACCAAGCTGGACAAAGTCCTGAACAACCTGCTCCAGGTGACCTTGCTCTGAGCAGGGCAGCTGGACCAGATGAGGTCCATTCCAAGCACAGCTGTTCCATGGCCCTAATGTGCAGCTAAAAACCTCCTTGCATTGCCAGGCACAGGTGCTCTCAGCCAGAGCCTTTGCCCTTTAGTGGGAGAGGTGGAGGTGCTCATCCCTTTCCCTCCAGGGAAACATCAGGGTCAACAGCAAAATAGTAAAGACAAACACCAGATTTAAGGAATAAACCTGATTTGTGCTTCCAAGGCTGCCTTATGGGAAACAGAGATCAAGAAGAACCTGACTCAGACTGAACCAGCACTTCCCTCCTGGCTGAACCAAGAACATCTCCCCTGCTTGTATCAAGCTTAGACATGAAAAGGTCAGATGGCAAAGAGAGCATCATTTATGAAAATATCAAAGGTAAAGCCTTGTCCCCAGTGAAGGCAGCAGGAGCTCTGCTAATGTGTCAGACATACAAAATTGAAAATTCCTTCTCAGCTGGACAGTCCTGTCCTATGAGGTTGCAGGCATCCATCCCATAGCACCTTCTTCTTCAACTGCTACCTCAAAGGGTTTTCTTCCCTCCTCGCAGCTATTTGAGAGGCTCTCTGCAGTGGCAGTCAGGTTCCTCTTTCACTCTGACCAAGTTAACACATGGTCAGAGTCCAGCCACTTGTTATGGTGCCAGCACTGGTTTACAGCTTATGTGGCTTTTCTCTCCCTCCTGGTTGCATTTCCAGATGCCACGGAGCACAGCCAGCATCCCTCAGCCCATCCCACCCTGCTCCAGGCTGAACACACTCGGGCTGTGCATGGTGCCAGAGGAGAGCTCAGGGTGTCCTGCACTGCCACACGCACATTTCCCAAGAAATAACCCTCACAAATCCTCAGGGGGCTGCATTTATTGAAACCCTGCAGTCCCTGCAAAACTCTTTCCAAGTGTTTTCTCATTAATCACTGAATTAATTACATCCATCCCAGCTAACCTATGATTTCCTCTGTGCTGTGCAAGGGCAGCTCATCTGCACACAGAGTCACCATTGTCAGTGGACAGAGCATGGGGCTGCAGCCAGGAATTTATGAGGTCTTATCCCCAGCCTGCCAGTGGCCTTCCGTGTGGCCTTGGAAAATAACACTTAACATCTTTGTTTTTTTAGCTGTAAAATGGGAATAATAATCTTTATTCATTCACCTCAAAGAGGCGATGAGAGGATTTTATGCAGTGCTCAGTGTTTAAATGTTTCCAAACAAATTTTAGAATAACCAGTCAGGGCTTTTAAATGCATGCTCAGCTCATCTCTTGCAACCTCCTCTGCACTTGGTGCTCGTGGTTGCTTTGCTTATTTCCCTGAGTATTCTAGAGCTAGCTGTATTATAGAGCTGTTACAACCAAAATAGGTCTAAGTGGAATAATTCGCACAAACATTGAATTATATTAATCTCAAATATACCCGCAGTTGCCAAAATTTGGAGCCAATCTTCCTACTACTGAAGTCAAAAAGGCAGAAATGAGCCAGCTCATCTTTTTCCCATTTGAAGAAAAATGCACTGCATGCACCCTGTTTACTTACTTGCGGTATCCCATCCCATCAAAAAAGCCAGTGACTCTGGAAGTCAATGTCAAGAAAATACAGAGAAATGCATTGTGGCTTCTGAAGCCAACACAGATATGGAGAAGCCTTTGCAGAACATATTTTTCTATCCTAATGATGGAATTGATAAATGAGTGGGCAGCAGCAAGGCACAGCTGAAGCCTTCACATCAGTCTGTGGTACACATTTTGCAGGAAGTACTGAGAGAAAAGTGGGGAGTCGGGGAAGGGCTGGCAGCTCCTGCAAAGTCCTGCAAAACTACCCCAGCCCCAGCGCAGCCACACTCTGCCTGCTCCCCAAACACATTACCCAGCCAGAGCCCAAGCCTGGTGCCCTTGGCAGGGCTCAACCTGCCACCCCCTCAAAGTCCTGAGGTGATAACTCACACAAAGTGCTAATTCAGTAAAACCATGTCTGATCTTTTCAATTCGTCCCTGAAGTAATTTCAGCATGTCATATTCCTTCATCACTAAGGAGTATGTTCCATTTTTTCATCTTACCACATATTAATGCTATTCCTGAAATTACTGAAACTTCTGCATGTACAGTTGCCTGTGTTTGAGAATATTAAAATATAAGTACATTTGAAAGAGTGGAGTACCTTCAAGCAAGAACCAGTGAAAGTTGGTTGCTATGCAACTCAAGTATTGTCCATATTATTCTTATCAACAGATGACATATCGCATAAAATAATATAATCATCTGAAAAACCCACAATCCAGTAGAAGGCTGCTCAGGGGTGGAGAATTGGCAATAGCTGAGAGTGCTGTCATAAACCTGACGTTGATGGTACATACTTCATCAATTACAGAACCATAATGTAATTATTATGATTATTTGAATGGCACCCTTGATAATATATATAAATTGCCTGCAGTGAAGCAAATGAATCTGAAGATATTAGCTCCATGCTTTCAAAAGAAATGCTTACTCAAACAAGACTGGGATAACATTTTCATGTTGTGAAGCCAACCACGCTGCTTCATTCATGCACTGCCTTAACTTCTACAAGTACCCCACTAAATACTATGTGTTTTGAATATATATTTTCCTAAAAATTGTTAGTGCTCGTGTGTGGGACAGTAAAATATTCAAGGCTTTTTACTAATCCCTCAGAACAGGTTCAGAAAATAAGAACTATACACTTCTCTATGCTTTGCCACTGCTAAATTATCCCAAAACTTTAAAGAAAAATCTCCTCACCTTCTACTCCCTGGTACTGGGAGTCCTCTTATCAGGAACTTTAAAAACATGAACAGAAAAGGATGTATTCTTATACAGCCATGGCATTCAGGTTCTCACATCATAAAGTAGAGGAGTTCTGGAATTATATCTTTTATATATACTTTTTACTATTTTTAGAAAGCTATAGATTGTCTTTCATGTAAACAAGAATCAGATATGGAAATGCAAGAAAAATTATCTTTGGGACAAGTTTGTGATAGCAGAATTATTCCACTGAAACCAGCAGGATAACTCAGAAGGTAAAGCCATGTCCACTGCAGATTGTGGATGTAGAATCCAGAAGCAGAATATCCACAAGCAGATTTCACAGACCTGCAAATGCTACTTCTGTGATGTGGCCAAAGACCTGCCAAAAAATGCTGGATTCTGTCCTCCACCCCAACTCTCCTCTCTAAAGAATATGAAACTGGTAACTTTCAAATTATAAATGGACAAAGCTTTGCTCTTCACAAGAAAACGAAGATCCTTAAGATGGAATGATGACTGCTGTAGCCACTGTCTGCCATCTGGAAAATGGCAGAAATAACCAGAGCTCACATTGAGGCAGATCTATAGGGCTAAAGATGAATAATAATAAACACGTAACAATTATGAAATACCTATGTACTAAGGACTGCAAAGAAACGACTAGCCCAGGTACTAATTCTGCTGGCTTCCACCACTATTGCAACATCAGATTTGTATGAGATTCATAAGTCAATTTGCGATCAATTTTTTGCCACTACAGCAATGACAAGGATATATCAACCATTTTGTAATTCAATGTTAACTACATACTCCATGAAGTCTCAATCACAAAATGGCAAATATGACCTTTTTTTACATTTACTTTAGGACATCCATCTGATTAAGCTTATTCAAAGTGCATAACTACATCATCATCATCATCACTGCAGGAAAAGCAGAGATAGATTGGTGTGTTTAGTTCTCAGATGGGGAAGCTCCAACAGAAAAATTTAACCTGTATCCAGGTAATCAGTCTCCTGTAGAGGCCAGACTAAACCTGAGAGCTCCCTCATTTGCACCAGGGAGGGAAATTCTCAGCTGGTATTGAGCAGGGCAAGCTGGTGAATGCAGTGGAGCTTCACCATCTGCTCTGGCTCTTTGCTGACAGCATTCCAGCAACTTCCATGAACAGACATGGAGTCATCCAGAATCCAGGGTTCCTACATGAACATGGAAATCCCAGCAATTCCAGTCACAGGAAGGTTGTTGGATGTTAACACTCTGCCCTGAGCAGCTGGGCCTGATGCTGCATTGGAGGCACTAAAATCACATGTCCTTAACCAAAGCAGTTATCAACATACTTGAAACGTCCTGTTCTTGTTCCCATGGAATCTGATGTTGACTTGGCAGTAACAGGACACAGGTACCGAACAGATCAATACTTTTGAAACCCATTTAACATTTTGTTCCTTTTTACCCAGGTTTTGTCTGTGGAGCATCCCCTTCCACAGAAACTGAGAGAAAGAACACTTGATATTTTTAATTACAGATTTGATCTGCAGAGCTCTTGCCTTCTGGCCCCTATTCCACAGAACACCCATTTTACTTTAAGCACATGTGTAGTTCCCCTGATAATAAGCACAAGTATAAATGAGTTCTTAGAAAGCGGCCATAGCCCTCAGCATCTTGCAGAGCTGACCTTGTGTTTACTGTTACTTACATACACTTGAACCAGAACACAATTGTGTTTTCTTTAGGAACTAAAATGTTCTCTATGTTTCATGGACTATTCCAAACAAATCTGAAAAGACAGACTGCCAGAGCTAAGCAGTAACTACAAATGGCACAGGGAAAACCCAGAAGAAATTGAAATTATTTGAAATGTAAAGTGTAAATGATAAACAGATATATATAAACAGGAAAGTTCTTTATATTCACAGACTAGTAAGGACAATATATATGGAATAAAATACAAAACAAATACATGTCCCCAGTAACCACACTGTTCATAAAAGAATGAAGCCTATAGATATTGATATCCTCCATTTAAATTAACCTTTCCTTACCTTGCCGTAGCTCAGCAGGATTATCCTCACCAAGACAACGTTAATGTGAGCACCCAGGGACTCATCATGATAAATTTCATTAACCTGCAAAAGAGTTCAGTGCTTTAACAATGGTAACTATGAAGGCAGTGATACAGCCAGTACCTTTTATGCTCTGTCATTAGGCCAGACACCGCTTTGTGATCATATTTAAAACATGAAAAACTCCACTAATGAGAGAGGGAATGGGGTTTTTCCAAACTCTGCTGTAATCTCCCAACAGGCCATAATTTAGGGAATAATTTAAAATAAATATAGAGAACTATAGATATATAGATATATATATATAGAGAGAGAGACACTTCAGATTACCAGTATATAAGTGCCAGTCTAATTGCATTTGGAAATATCTTGGTGCACCCACACCATGCAGCTGTGCCGACCCATGTGCTCCACTGGAGCCTGGAGCATGGCAATCCAAGCAAAATCCCAAATATCTCTCTGCTGAGCAGGACCATGCATAGGGAAGGGGATGAGTGAGCAGAGAGACAGGACCTCTCTCCCAAGAGCCATTCACTGGATCAGCTCAGCTGCACCCTGTAACTCTTCCATCTGGGACCCATCATATCACACTCTGCCAAGAGGATGTGCCTCCCCCAAAAAGCTGGTCAGGCACATGAGCTGGCTTTATTGTGTGTCAAAACTCATCAGTGTTAAACTTTGCAAGTAGAACAAAAGCTACAAAATGCCAGCAAGTTAAAATTGTCTTCTTTCTTTGTATACCAGAGCTACGTAGCTGAACACGCACATGGGGAAATCACCCCAGGAACGATGAAAAGAAAACTGTAAATATTTAGAGTAGAGAATGAAATGTGGATGAATAACAATTACTTAGGAAACACTGCTACAGGCAAGCTGGGCCAATATTAACTGTTAACGAGGCTGATTTAAGTATTCAGTGATGAAGACTGCATGAGACTCGGCCAAATAGCAGGGGTTTAGCTTTACAAATTAGAAGAGGCAGATGAGATCCCTGCAAGGCTAGTTCCTTCCCTAAAACCTCCTTCCCTTGGTAAAGGTTGCACCAAACTGAACTGTTTTGCTGGATGGACCTAGAATTCATTTATTCCTGCAAACTAGATTCATTACTTCAAGCTAATAAATAACTTTCAGGGAACCTTTCATTTGAAACATGGTAAATAATGTCCTGCTACTTCAATCAGCCCCAGTTTTAATGGCCCATATTTTATCTCTTCAAAAACCATTAAAATTAAATACATCAGTGTAGGTTTTGCTAAGCAATCCCCACTGACATTTTAAAGTGAATTTTAATTCGTTTCATCAGTATTTTTTGACAGAAGAGCCTTATTTTATGCCGGGTAGACATCCAAGTTTTCAACAGTCCTGAGTGTCCTGCTGAAGCACAGCTCCAGAAGGAGGCTCACACCCTCCAGGACACCTGGGGAACATTCTGGGGGATGCCTGGGATGCAGGTTGATGGGCAGGCAGATCCTTGGATTAAAATGGTGGATGAGGAACCCATGGCTATAAGTGGCCTCAGGGGCTTCTGTTTTCCTTGCGGGGTAGAAGGAGCTGATTACGTTCAAGTCTGCTTTGTGAACAACCCCTCTGGAAATCAGATCATCTATTTGCATGTTTAAATAAGACTTTAGAAGACTAACTTTATATTCTGAAATTTTAAAAACACTCTTAGTTTTACTTTGAGGACCATTGTTCAACACAGATTTTAAAGAGGTAAGATATAAACACATTTTGCTTTACAAAAATTCTTTCACCCGGGAAAAAGACCCTTGAATGCTGTCAAGGGAGACAGGGATATTAATTTGCCTCCCTCTTTGTGTGGTGAGAAGAGAGTACTCACATCAAGGATATGAGGTTGAAATAAGCTGCAAATTACCTGTACATGAAATTAGTATTAAACAAAAAACTGCTGTGTATAGAGGACAGTAAACACAGCATGTAAATAAGTATTTAATTAGTTCATAAAGCATAATCCAAATTGGTGCACACCACTCTCTCATTAACATCCAGAATTTAACCTAAGCCTCTTTTAACAATCATTGAGTAACCGAACAACTGTATCGCTGTTGTGTGCCAAAGGGAAACTTGGCTTGAAAACATTGATGGAACAGAATTAAAACACTGTTTGACTATTCATGAATATGACATCTAACAAACAAACTGTGAATGAACAGAAAAGCACAAGCACTGTAAAAAGCTGCTTGGTTCTCTTGGGATCCTGGATTTTCTGCGAGACAGCAGGCCAATTCAAAGCTCTGGGCCTTGGTTTCATTAATAAGGATGAGTCCAAGCCCTCTTCACCCAGCATCTTCCTCTGACCTAAACTGTGGTTTGCTAGGAGTGTCTCACTGCACATGAATAATAGGCTGAAATAGATGCTTTTCCTTCTTTTCAGCACAGCCTAAATCACACCTATTTGTTGCAGGAATCTGTTGGAGATACAAGATCCAAATTAATGTTGTGCTCTCAGAGGTTCATGAAAACGCACACACTGAAAGGCCCAACACAATCCCTAGCTCATATTCCCCACATTTCCACCTCTTATTTCAACAGGAAAGCAGAGTCAAGCTAATGCAGCTCAATGCACAGGGCAGAAGATGATCAACCAGCCTGTGCAATCAGAAAGCTCCAGGCTTGAGAGCAACTCACAACTTTGAAATTTAGTGTTTGATAGCACAGGTAGCCAGACAATGGACATACATGTTCAGATGTCTGTGCAATAAATACACACAGCTCTGGAAAAGACTGTAAGTACTTTTCCAGCCCTGCATCTTCATGTACTTCAGCAGCACATCCTGGTTCATACCAACAGAAGAAAAGCCAGAGTCAATCTCCTGTTGTTCTTAGATCAGTAAGTCTAAAATTAAGTTGCTGCATAGGAGGAAAAAAGTACACAGAGACCATCCCATAATCACAGCTCCTGTACTGAAGGCAGTGAATGAATTAAATCTTATTAAATGTCCTACAGTGATTCAGCATTTATAGAGGGTGATGAAGAAGGCTGGGTAAATCTCAAAGAATTCAAAGCACAGTGAAATACTGTAAAGACACTTTTATCAAGCTATTGTAGTTCACCAACTATTTTGGGATATCTTTGGTTTCCTTTTCTGGGATATTTCAAAGGAAAACACACATTTCTATTTAAAGTTTCTGTGTAGAAATCAGGCTAGCACAGATTGGTGCTACATAAGAAAAACAAAGACTTTATTTACTTTTTTTTCATCCGTCCCTCTCTGCTAATTTTATAATTCTTCTGCCTTGAACAAGTTTCAAGTCAGCACAGTAAGCACATAGAATACATCAAAAAGTTAAAGGCAAGCCAAGCACCAGTGAGGTGCCTCATGCTTTGTAAAAGAAGCACTGGAAAGTTTTGATTACTGAGCAAAGCACTGCCTGATCCTAAAAGAGAATTTTGAAAGCTCCTGTAACACAAATAGTAATCAACAGCCTGCAGTTCTGCTAGTCTTGGTGCAGAGCAGGTTACCTGCTGGTAGATCTGGCAGGATTTTTAGGCAAAGTCAGGTGGTTCCCTGGATCCCTAATTAAACCAATGCACCATAGGAGAATAATCTGTGTATTTTGGCAAATCATCAGCAAACTCATCCACGCACTTTGAAGGAGTCCCCAGCCTTGCAGAGTTTGTTAGTATCTGCTATGCAAAAGGCAGATCGTTTCATCAGAACACAACTCCTGAACCATAAAGCATCGGGTTCTTCCTGAGGCAGCTCCATGGGTTGCTCCTCACGCCTGGGTGAGCGCTGCTGCCCCGGGCTCCTGAGCACACACCCCTGCTGGACATTTCACAGCTTCCACCTCGGGCACCATCAGTGTCAAACAGCTCTGACCCAGCACCAGGGGCCATCAGAGGGCACATCTGACCCTTTGCAGAGGGCACAAACCAAGAGTCATCTGGTTTTGCAGCCACCACAGTTTGCTGACCCATCCAAGCTGATTAGCCCGCTCTTTGATCACCCAGCATCCTTACACAACTACTGCTGCAGAAACTACTGATGGCTACGTGCTCCCAGGCAGAGCTGGGACCATGTGTGGATCTCTGCCAGAGCAATCCTGGAGAAGCTGGAGAGCATCAGCTCCTTCCCTGTGGGATGGCAGAGCTCCTGGCAAGCCATTGTCGGAGCCCAGCCCGAGATGCAGCTCATTCATCAGCTCATAATTATCTGCAGCAAAGCCTCAGTGCCTGATGGGCATCCAGTGATTGTCTATTTCTGTAAGAAATGTCTGGTTTGAATTACAGGATAGGAACCAGAAATGTCATGGTGGATACTGAGCACAAACTTCTGTAATCTGACCCTCCCAAAAGCGTTTCCCTCTCACTTTATTTTTCTGTGGTCCCGCTTCAAACACCACTGTGCTCTTCGATTTTCATCACCTTCTTTATGCTTTTGAAGACCCCAAATGAGCATTTCTGACATTCCCAAAGCTTTATCTTAATCCCACAGGAATAACATTACATCAATTCCTCTGGTGGATGTACTATGGTCCCACAGAAGGTCATACAGCAAATCACCCTTTCTAGTCCTTACAAGGCGTTTCCTCATTTCCTCAGAGAGGAACTCTCTTTTTTTCCTGAAATCTTTATTGAGCATCACAAGGAAAAAAGAAGAATGAAAGCACACAAGACATGTGAAACTTAAAGGTCAAACTGTGATCCCACATTTGGAAAACATCTATCATTCTGCTCAAAACCACATACACCGGGCAGTTTTAGAAGAGCTTGGCAATGTACATTTTGAACCAGAGATAGGAATCTCACTTTTTCTATGCAAATATGAGTCTGAGTCCTGATTTACCTTCTCTGGTGTCAGAGTCAGTAGGTGTTACCAAGTCCAAGTTAGCTGCTTCTGATCAAAATGAAAAACATTCCCCAGCAGATGTGTTGGCAAGGCACTAGGTAGCTTCGTGTTACGGGCCTCTATCTCATCTTCAACTGTAACATTGGCTTTAGAAAGGTCATAGACTTTGTTTTCTGACTTCATGACTAATTTATTTTTCTTAGTTCCTCCCGCAGGCTCTTGGAACTTCTCATTCCTGCTCATAAACCA